TTTGCACTGAAAGTGCTATCCTTTAACCAGAATAAAAAAAAACAAAACTTTGAAACTTTTTAGTGTTACATTTGTTTCCTTTCTTTTCAGGGAGCCAAAAGATGCACACAGGAATATTTCCAGGAGATGTTCTGAGAAAATGTGTTTTTTAAATAAAATTTTGTAGTTGCCTTCATATCTCCCTAACATCTTCCTGATTGAGGTTTGCATCACATAAGATATTTACTATTAGAATAGTAAATAGTCATGTGGGCTTCCTTGTTAACTTGTTTTCTTTTTTGTTTTCATTTTTTGGGAGGCATTTTTTTCTCAAGTTTGGACAGTTTTCAGAAAGCAACTATATATGTTTAGCAAACTCCCTTATTTTGTTAATGTGATAACTGTTAGAATAATTTGAGATAAGCTATATTAAAGTTGTCTTTGGTTATATGAGAGAATTCATCATATATAGAATAGGTCTGCACAAAATATGGTCCACAGACAGCAAGTGACCCACAATGGGTTTTCAAAATGATAAGGAAATGAAAGTGGAAAGAAATTAAACAATACTTGTCTTGAAATAAGCCCCAAAATGGCTGACCATCAATTTAAAATGCAAGATTGAAGGGAGCCTGCTCACTAGAACTCAAACCATAAAAAGATGCCATTATGTTGACCATTACATTTGCGTAAAAAAGATTAGGGAAGTTAATAATGTGAGTACTTTTGATACACCCTTATATAAGGAGGCGATGAAAGGTTCTTGGTTCAAGCTGAGAACTTTTAAACACTTGCATATATATATATATATATATATATATATATATATATATATAAAAGAAATATGTTGTAGTGGTTCCAACGAGAGAAAAGTATGTATATTAAAAAGAAGAGAGGTGCCAAAATGTTTTTGGTTGTAATGTGGATTTATTTAGAAAAAAAATATTATGCTTTGTTTTACATAATTTTACTACGACCGTGTTTCTGGTCTCGCGACCCGTCTTCAGGTAAAAGTGGAGATTTCTACATATTATTAAAAATAATTAATTTTTCTTCATGTTCAATGTGAAATGTTCTCGATATGAGACATTCTCTGTTTGTGTGTTGGCAATCCAAATTTTCTTTCTAGAATTGTCAATGAAGAGTTCTGCGCGAAGGGTCATAAAACAATTAAGGTTTGTCCAGCGAGTAGTTATCGGCATTTAATCTTTTAATGTTTTAGTGACCCCCTATGTACTCTTGGATCTGTTTCTATTTTGGTGTGTTCCTGTCAGCATGCGTGTATATATGCGTGTGTATATTTCCCCTCCATACATATTGTCTTACTACGAGGAATTCGTAAACTTATTTGTACCTATACACGCATACACACACATACGCATATATATATATACACGCACACACACACACTTGTGTATTTAGACAGAAAATTCTCTTTTAGGCATGTCTGATTGAATAAATTATAAACATTATGTCTGATTTTTTTTATCATAATTCTTTCATATTCATGAATATTTTTCTTTATATTACAATTAAATAAGGCAAGAAATGCACTGTAACAGTGAGAATCACTTTTATTTCCCAAATACTTTCCAACTCTTTTTGAGATCACCATCAGGGGAGCAACTGGTAAGGCAAAAACTATGTGTAGCTCTCTCCATTACTGAATTTTTTTTACTTTTGCATATAAATGCTATGGCTGATAGTTATGCTTTAGCTTTCATTAGAATGTGAATATTTATCCATTATGGAATTTTTTTCTTTTATGTTGGAATGTCATGGTCAAGTGCGCATTAAACGGTGAATGTGTTTTTGTTACACCTAAAACCATATATTATCAGTCTGGAATATGATTTATTATTCCTGATAAAAAGGCTTCCTGTCACCAGAAACACAAATCACGACACAGTGAATGAGATAAATATACAAAATTAATATAAAAATGTAAATATCATAACTTCATTTTTTCCAAGTGTTCCACACATATGTGAACTATAAGACTTTGATGTGACTTGAATCTACAACAATGCAATTGTCATATAATGTAATAACATTTTGGATAAATAATTTGGCAATTATGGAGTGGTGCTGAAAGGTTCTTGGAATGACCTACTTCCCAAAATCTGACCAAATATAAGATTCTTTTTTCTTTTTGTTGGCTTGAGAACTTTTCAGCACTCAGTCAAGTACATTATAAGATAGACTTGAATGAGACTTTTTTTTTCTTATGATGTAAATCCATAATGTTAGTAATAACCATATTTTATAAATAGATTTTAAGATGATTTGAATTTAAAATTTGACAAACAAATTTAAATGTAGTAATTACTCTGTTATTTTTTTATTTGTTTATTTCAGTTATTAATAAAATGTACAAGAATTTCAAAATAAATCTCAAATTTAATTTCCATCACTGGGGGCTATAATGAATTTCTATTTTGAGATTGAAAATTAGTGTCAGGCCTACATAAAATACTGCCTGTGGGGCTGCATGAGACCCACAAGACTACCCATTGCAGTCTGTGATAGGTTTTCAAAATACCCAATCTCTTATGTTCATCAGAATAAATTCAGTAACAGATTACATATGAAAATTTTATTTATTTTTGTTTTTTAATCATTTCATTGCAAGTAAGGAAATAAAGCCACTAAGATGCAAGGGGTTACTGAGTGTGAAAGAATATGAGAAAAAAATACTATTAAGGAGTGGGAACAATAAAAGAACAGGAATTAAGGAAAAAGAATATAACAGTTGGCATTGCATTTAAATTTTTGAATATCAAAATTAACTGGGAAGCAAGAAGCCAGAAGAGAGTTCCACAAGTGAGAAGTGTGAGAGAAGAAACTGTTAGCATAGAATTTATGGTTATATCTAGCCAGTTCAACTGTTAATTGATAAGACCTTATTGCCAATCTAGTACTAAGCTTAAATTTATAAAGATTAGGCACCATAGCGAAGAGTTCATCTGATCAATTACCATAAAAGTATTTATACAAAAAGCACAGGGATGCTATATTATGGTGATGGGAAAGTAACTGAAACTGAGATGACAGGTCAGGACCAATAACATTGCAGATTCTTCTTTGGATTTTTATCAAGATTCTCTAAATATATAACAGGAGCACCAGACCATATGTGGCAGCAATATTCAAAACATGGATGAATGGTAGACTTATAAATATTTAAGATAGATTCTGGAGAGAAAAATTGTTTAACACGACACAGTGAATCAACATTCTTAGCAGCAAACCTACCAATTGATTCAATATAATCTTTCCACTTCATGTTAACGGTAAACATTTGCCCGAGAAGGTGCAACGAGTCACTCTCCTGGAGGTTCGTATCAGCCATGCTGATAGAAGACAAAAAGGGCTCTCATATGATTAAAAGTAAATAATTTCATTATAAACTTGATTTTTGATAAATATTTACTGTGTTCTTAATCTTCTAAATATAGCAGTTTGTGACAAAATAGTTTATTCTAAATTCAGACTATTGAATATTAATGTTTAATTTTTCTCTGAATTTTTGGGACGAGGGGATATCATTATATACATTTGGACTAAATATCTTCATTGATATGGAAACAGAACAAGAACAATCTACCTATAGGGAAAGTAAAGGTTTCAGTTTGAAATTCTCCAAAGGTTACCTAGATTGACAGACATCTGAATAAAGCCAGAGTGTTTAATGGATAAAACAATGAAATCATGGATTACTGTAAAATACTGTAAATAACTAATGTTTAAATTTGTTTGGGAAATTTCAATTTTATCATAAAAGCTAAGAAAAGCCAATAATTTTCAAGTTTGTTTATATTAATATTTTGATCTCATGATTGGAGCTTCTTATCTTGAGTGTTATAAATATTGACCTCAAAGTCAGTTTACAACTAGTGAACAACTTTATCTCTTATTAGTTATTCTTTTTGCAACACTTGAACAGTATGTATATTTATTTTTCTCATGTATATCTGTACAAATATGTTTAACTAAGAAAAAAAATGAACTGTGGATTTGAAGTTTTATCATTTTTTTTTTACATAACTGATTTCAAATATATTCTCGAAGAAAAGAAGATATTTTGTTTGTATTATTTAATTTTTGCATTTAATTTATTGCTTAATGTGTTTTGACAAGGTTGCTGGAATTTTTAATATGCAAAAAGCTAATTGATCCAGTTAAAATATATTTTTATAGAGAACACTTCAAATCTCAGATATAAAAGTTCATATAGGAATGTCTGTTTTATGTGTTTTTGGTAGACCATTATGACTAGGAATTTTAGGATCAGTCAATTCTGATCATGATTGTCTTCATTATTAAGATTCTGTTGTATTTGTTGAATCATTTATTCATTTATCTGATGATTCAACATTTGTTGGCCATCTTGTAAAAAATTAAATTTCCACTTAAAAATGAATTAATATTTCTTTCTCTAGTCAAAGTATAATATTTTCTATTTTTTTAATTTTTTTGTGGGGGAGAGTAATAAATGAAAAGAATCAAGCAAACAAGAATAAAATACAGAAACAAACAAACTTTGCTGAACTTGCCATATCCCTTCAGGATGTAGAGGATCAGAGCTTTCCACAGATTCCTTTTCTTTATTTTTGAATTGTCCTGACTTCTTGGGAAAAATAGTAGAGTGGTTTCCTCCATAGATTTGAATACAGAGTTGTCTGCTTTCTAGATTGGTTGCCACCTGAGACTAGAGAGCCCAGTTTACCTTGCTATTTAACCCATAGTTGGATGGAGGGGAGCAAGAAGAGATGGATTCATAGCTTTCTCAAGGTCATTAGCACAAAAGTAAATGCAACAGACTAGGCTGGAATATGAATTCAGTTTGACGATTTCACTTTCCATGCTGATGACCATAACACGACCTACAATAAAAACATTATTATTGTAAGAACAGAGCTTATATTTTATGAATAAATTTTTACTTGATTTATTATAACAATTGCTTTTATTTTTATTTATAATTTATACTTATTTTTTCTTTTCTTTTTATCTGTCAGATGATGGATGTTAACACTACCCAACAGACATTGAAATACACGTCTGATACATCTTCCTTGCTCACATGGGATCAGAGAAAGTTTTATGAGAACAATGGATATTTGCTGGTCAAAAATTTGGTGTCTCTGGAAAAACTTGCTCGATATGAGTAAGTATACCTCATCATTTTTAAAACATATACTTCCTTTTTATTTGAAATATCATTACATTTTATATGTTATTAGCAGGGTCTATAGAATCTCTTCAGTATATATTTATTATATTTGATATTTTCCTGTCATCTCCAAAAGTATAGTTCCAGGGAACCCATTCCTCCAGGCTTTACCTTTTCATCGTACCAAGAGAGCTAGATCCAGGGCTATTCCTTTAATGCCTGTGGCATGCAACAAAAGTCATGGACCATGGAACTAAACAATCTTTACATCTACCCATACATATGTGTGTAGAGCATTCACATTATACATAATCTAGGGTCAAATTTATCCTGGTAGTGAGGAGAATAAATACAATTAATATATTTTAATAATACTGAAAAAGGAAGTCTTATCATTTACACTTTGTAGATATTCTTTCTGTTTTATTTATTTCATTTTTTATGTGTCCCTTCAGCTCTGCACAATTTCCAATCTATCATAGCACTAACTAATGTTTGTCTCCTTACTATCCCTCCCAGTCCCTTTTATCCATTTACACAAGCTCGTTAGGTAAATTACTCACTGTTTCTCTCTGTTCCTTTTGCCTAAAATTTTCCTGTTTCTTAATACTATGTTTAGTTACTGGAAGGCATCTTTCACTATTCCAATGCACCTTTGGGTTTTGGTATTATATTTTTCAGCATTCATTAAAACATTTTCCAGATAATTAAATTTCTGTATTTGCTTGATGTTGACATCTCCAAATTGTAGTTCCACATCTTGAACTGTTTTTCTTGTTAAAAAACCATCCATTCTGTCTTCTTGCAATTAATGGTTAGTTCTTTCTTCCTGTTTTCCTTTGCTACATTGTTTAGAAGTTGCTGCATTTCTTTCTGTGTGCCATCAACATCTCTTTGGATAGTCTCACTGTAAATGTTAAATAAATCCAGTGAGAAGATGCGTTCTTGTCTTACACACTTTTCTATTTTTATGAACTTACTCAATGAATTTTCTATTCTTATGCAGGCACTTTGTTCCCATAAATGTTTTGAATTGTTCTAATAAATTTCCCAAATAAATCAAGTTTTCCTAGCAGTTCAAATAGATTTTTGTGTTCTCTCTTATCAAATGAATTTGTATACACTTCATAAAATAATATCATCTTTAATTTTGGATAAGAATTGCTCTTCTCTAACTCTTGTATTTTTAGTTTATAACTTTGGAAAAAAGTAGCTCACAAATATGATTAAATATTTATAGCAAAAACACTACATTTTTATCAAATATTTGGCTTTGGGTCTCATTTATTATAGTTGTAGAGCAGAGATAAATTTCTCGAACTTATAAAATCATTAATAGATTTTATGATCATTTTTACTTGTAGCAGATTCTATGTATTATAAAGTAGTTTGGAATGTCCTAATCACATTATAGTTTTGAATAAGCATAGATTTTAATGAAGCCGTAATTGAAGCATAAATATCAAAATGAAAGCTGCTATACATTTGTTTCTTAACCAGGTCAATTTGTATTTGTGATATATTTTATTTGTATTGTTTCTAGATAAATACATTGATAAATCTAAAGTTCATTAATGAAAAAAAGCATTTAATTCTTTATCAATATAATCACCTTCCTTGTCAACAAACTTAACTCAGTGATAAATATTAATCAGATAGAGCAAACATTATGCAGTGAAAATTTCAGATCAAAATTCAGCAAATAACTACATGTCAAGTTGGAGACTTATTGATTCACCCCTGTATACAGAAATTAAAGATTTCAGTTTTGAGTTGAGTTTATGCCAATAGATACAAAAGTGACTTGAACTTTTGCATAACATTAATAGAGTTTAATGTCATATTGCTCAGTTGACAATAGTTCTACTCTTATATTTTTGTTAATTCATCAGAATGAAGTAATAAATATTACATCATAAAAAGTGAATAGACAAATAAAACAGATATTAGAGAAAGTTGCATTGCAATGCAAAAAGCTATTATCTCTCTTTGGTCGAGATGAAATCATTTGATTCACATGATGTCTGCTTAGTAATATCACTTCATAGAGTGATGACAGTGGTCAGTCCTTCAGTCAGTTTCCAGGAGTTAAACCAGGAGTCAAAGTGCCCATACTGAGGCTAAATCTGTCTTTTCCAGCCACATGGTGTAGCTTACATCCTATGGCCCTGTTTACCTATAGAAATATATCTTCTCCAGATATAGATAATATCACCAGCTTGCAGTCCTCAATTTGGAAAAACTCAGATCACACTGTCCTTGATAGTGACATAACAGATAAATCTGACCAGCTTGAATCTGAAATCCTAAATATGGCTTCTCCAGAAACATAGAGGAATCTCTGGCAGCTGCAGTTCCCATTAAGAATTATTATATGTAAGACTTTTTTCATCCTCTTTTCACTTTGCTTGTTGTTGCATACATGTTAGAACATATGTGGGTATATATATATATATATATATATATATATATATATATATATATATATATATATATATTTTATGCATGATTTAGTTGCATAAAACTCTTTCTGAGAACAGAACAAAGCATGTTTTTCATTTCTTTTTTTTCAGCTATTCTCTTCTGTTCATGAAATGAGGTGTTATTACATCATTGATATAATAATGCCTATAATGGAGGAAATACAAATGAGAGAATATTCACTTTCTTCCATACGTCCATAGTGCATGCATTAGTTGGAATATGGATTCAAAAAATGAGTGTTTACTGATAATAAAATAATTATGCATGTAAAAGAGAAGTTCTAAAGTTTTCTTTTATTATTTAGGGACAGATTTCAAAGGGTATGCCTTGGAGAAGTACCTAGCCAAGAAATGGACATTATGTATGATGTTGCTATAGAAAGGTCAGAATACATTCCAGGAAAGAAAGCAATTGCCAAAATCCAAGGTTTCCAGTCAGATGAAGTATTCTTTGAATATTGTTGTTTGCCAGAGGTAAGGAATATCAGCAATGGCTTTAAGAATGGAAAAATCAAACAAAAAGTTTATATAGTTCTTCAATTTTACTGATATGCTATATGAGAATCATAATGAAATAAATTGCTTCCTTACAAGAAAACTAATTTTTTATCTCTGGATAGAGGAAACTATTTCAAACACAGAAAAGAAGAAATGCTATTAAGATGGAAAATTAACCTAAAAAGTAATAAGAAAAAATAGGAAGAAAAAAAGGAAAACATATTCCTCAAAATAAAGTGAAAAAGGAATAAAAACTATCAGTACATTTGTATTCTTGTACAACTTATAAGTTTTACAAGAATACAAATGTATTACATGGTATTTAAGTATCTAAACTTACATGGTATCTATCTATATTGATTTGTTTATAAAATAATTTTATTAATAGTAACTAATTGGGTGGCATTTATATAATAAATTATTATTTTGTAGTTTATTGTATTTTAACTGCCTTCATAATTTGTAAATAGAGTATTTAATTAGTCTTTTTTAATGAAAATGGATGTGTGCTTCATTCTTTACATAATTTGTGTATAGTTAAGAAGACACTGTATGTTTATAGAGGCCAAAATAATTCTTTGAAAACTTGAGAATACATCCTTTACAACAATAACTGACCTGTAATAATATTAGGAATCAGTTTAAATGATATTTATAAAATATGTGATAGTAAGGTTGAGTTTTTCCCCCCCTTTTCTTTCTCACCCTCCACTACTGATAGTTGATTTCAATAATCATTCAAATGATATAATGTTTAGAAGTAGTTTTAAGTTAAAGAATTTTACAGTAGAAATTAACAAATCAAAACTGAATATTTTTAGAATAAGGCACTAAACCATGTTTGGGAAATTATATAAAGGGTTAAGTTTAAAAATGTTAAATTACCTCCTTGGTTATCCACTGAAGCTGCTATCCATTGGAAAAATAAGAAAAGAAGCTAGTCCCCCCCCCTCCCTCGTGGACCATTTAAAAAGTCAGTTTGCACAGTGGATTAGTAGCTACAAACATTCAATCAGGTGTGCAGAAAATGTGGTTTGTTTTCATCCAATTTATTATAAAGGCCATAGTCTCTGCTAGCTTTTGATTGCAGAGGGGGAATCAGGGATTGATCTCCCCTGAGTGGTTTATTTAAAGTTTTATTGGATATTCTGCGAAAGTAAGTGTCAATTTTTGTTTACCATCAATTTTTGTTTACCGTTGTCAGTGTTTTTGTATCAATTATTGTCTTCGTCGTTTGGATTTCGTTTTTTGTTGTATTGTTTTGATTGTGTGTGGTGATATGGGTGTGCCAACATAATGGCAATGTCCCTATCTCCTAATGCCTCATCCACTGAAGTGACCTTTTTGCCATGGGTAATAGATAGGCCCCCACAAAAAGGGCCTGAGTACTATAAAAATCTTAAAAAACAATTTGGTTCATTTCTCAATGGAAATGAAATATTAGCAGTGCCATCTCTGATGGAAATGGCAAACACCCGCACAATTTCCCTACTGACAATGGATCTAAAAATGTGTAAACTAATTGCAGTCAATAGAGATGTTATAGAAGAGGCCCTGAAAAGCCTTCAATTTTCAGCCAAAATCCTAGCATGACAGAGTAATGCAATGTGGGACATCCTGTTAGCCACAGAAGACGCAGCTAAATCACTAGCAGGTTGTGTCCTGACAACCAAAATTGTCAGACTACAAACTGAATACTTGGGAACAAGGAAGTCAAAGGTTACTCTACACAGAATTCCTTTCTTTATATCAGAGGACCATCTGGGTTTTTCCTTTTCTCAGTTTGGGGAGGTCTTGGAGGTCTTGCCCATTAGAAGCAAGGCTGGAATAGCCACAGGTGATGTAGAAATATTGATAACACTAAACAGGAAGCAATTTATGAAAATCTCAAATACATTAATGTGTGAAGGAAAACCAATTTATGTGATTGTAGAAGGACATCGACCACTATGTTGAGCTTGTGGTGCCATGGGTCATCTTTCCAAGACTTGCCTGGGAAAAAATCCAGAACCACAACCACAACCCCAAAACACTAAGAAAAGTGATGAAATGCAAACAACAGCACAAACAACAACAAAAAGCATCAAAGGAGCAGAAAAGTGGATGGAAGTAGTGAAGAAGTGGTTACTACTCCTCAGCAGCAGTAGCATCTAAAACATAAGAAGCCCCAACTGGAGCAGCTGGACAAGCAGATGCAGCTGCAGGAAGAGTGGCAGGTGGAGCTACATACAGTAAATGTAGAAATGGAGGAGATACTCCCACTTCGGTCCTCATTGTTGAAAAGGATGAGAGAGGAAGAGGAAGAAGAAAAAGAAAAAATTTCCAAAAAAGAGAAGCGGACTGGCAGAAGTAGGGCTGAAAAAGTGACCAAGAAAGAGACAGTAAAAACCAAGACACAATCTGTCTCGAATTCGCCTGCCAAAAAGCAAGAGTCAGTTACCTCAAGGAGCCTCACTTCTTTTCCTTTGAAAGCACTGCTGCTCTACCTTTCCAATACCCCTTCTCACGGCACCACTGCAGCCAACAACAATTCCACTCCACCCAGCACTCCTCTTCCCAACACCCTAATGCCCAGCACTTCCCACCAGAGATCTTCTCGTAAGAAGAAATACCCTAGGGAGGAAAAGTTATGTCATATTGACAGACAGGCATTAGAAAGAGACATTTCATCCCCAAGAAAAGCGCTATTAATACCTCTATTCAAAATGACTTCAATAGAAGTGGGTAATTCAGTTCGCCCATCGTTTGTGATGACTGAAATAGATTAAAGTGCTTGCTTTCTTTTCGAGTCCTCCGCTCTACCAACTGAGCAAGTGACCTCTTCCTTATTCTCTTGTTCGCGTTAGTACGCACATACACAGTCACGCCAACAAAAGTTCTCCCGACTTCCTCACAGATATCGGGGGCAACTAAAATTTGCATACGAGACTTACTTCTCATTTGCTGGAGACTTCTGATTTTATAAATTCAAGCTGGTTTGAATTCTTAGTCATTTTTATTTTTTATTCTTTGTACATCTACCCGCGATATAGGAATTTTGGAATAATCCATTTCACTTTTAATGCTGGTTGCGATCTTTCAACAGGACCTAACATGCCAAGCAAATTCACTTAGCGGAAGGTTAGTCTTCTCATTCCTCACACTCCCCCTGATCTCATGATCACACAGATGACAGTGGGGGGCAGTGAGAACACCTTTGACAAACACTCCTTCGTAGAGATGGAGGGGATGATTCTGGTGGCAGTACTGCAATGTCTACGTTCTGTGGGTCCTTGCCATTTTTGGTGTCATTACAGCCTTCCTTGTTGTCTGAATCTGTACTCTCTGATACAGGGGGCAGGCCATCTGACTTCATTGTGCAAAACATTGTTGACTCTGAATCACTATCAGACAACATATCTTTGCTGTGACGCTCTTCTTCTGAGGCGGTTAACTCATGTCGTGGGCAAAGGCTTTTCACATGGTATGGCACACCATTGACCCGGACTGTTTGGGAGCTAATAACTCCTCCAACTCGTCCTCTGCTAAATCTAATGGTACAACGTCCATTTAGGGCTTGACCCATACGAGATCACCAATTTTATAGGGTTCTTTGGTATTCTTTGGAATATTTGGTATTACTTGATCTATCCCCTTTATCTGCTGTCTGTATGTATATATTCTGTTGGCCAGTGCACTTGATGGTGTTACATCATCTTTGGGAGTGATGTTGTACACAGCTTCTTGAATGGAGCACCGTGCTCTGGCTGCTATTCTTTTTAACGCTGCGGTGACACTGCTCTGCTATCCCATTACCCAGTGTAACTTACTCGCACTCCCCATTCGACTGCGAAGTCCTGAAAATCTCAGCTACAGAAAGTTGTGGCATTGTCTGTAAATATTTCAACGGGGGGACCATGTTCATAGAAGATAGATCGTAATTGTTGTATAATCAATAATGCATTTTGTTGCACCAGTGGGCGCCATACAGTGAAACACGTCGAGCCGCAATTCATCAAAGTTAGAAATTGATTGCTATTGTGATGTGTCATGTCCATGCCTAGTCACCACCAGTTTTTGCCTACCCTGAGCTTGCCCTTGTTCCACTGGACTGGGGCAGGGTCCACTGCACAACATTCCTCACAGCCTTGTACAGCTGACCTAACCATCTCTTTTGTTACTGCAGGACATACTTTCTGGACGAAGTAAGTCGAATGTCGAACGCCAGGATGATCGCTCTTGCTATGTATAGCATGGATTTGTTTGATGGTCAGCTGGTTCATAACGGCTGTGGCTGTTGGTGGCTCCGATCCCTTTTTCAACATTTCAAGCTATCTTTTTGGTACGCTAGTCAACTTATCAACCAGGTTCCTCCGTGACATAGTCAGTTTGGTGTCAACTACCAAACCATATTCTTCGATTAGCTGGTGTAGGTTAGCCAGTCTCCTGCACACTAGCATTTCACTCGCAGCTTTTGTCCTCACTCGGGTCTTGCCTGTCAGAATATTCTGTAGCCATTGATACACGCATACCGAGTCCGTGTATAGGTGTACCACCTTGGCCTGCCACTGTAATGCCAGATTTATACCTTTCAATGCAGCATCCAATTTAGCCAGGTGTATATGTTGTGCATCATTTCCAGAACTGAGCTCCCTCACTTCCACCGCAATGTGTTGTGCTTCCCCCAGACTTTAAGCCCAAGCACATTGACCCCATTCTTTAATTGAATAGGGTCTTTGCTAGACAAGCTGAAAGATTCTAATCTGTGCCTGAGTTCATTTGCTGAAAGTATGTCCTCATTTACATATATATTGTCGACATATGCCGACGCAGCTCTTTTCATCAGCTCATCCTGATCTAGCACTGTCTTAATGATTGATTTCATAAGGGGAGCCACATTAAGGCCAAACCCCAGGCACAACAATCAGTACCTCTTTCCTTTGATGATAACTGTTTGGAAAGGCCATATCTCATAGATTTGTATTTGAAAATATGCTTTTCGTAGGTCAAGCAGAGTTTTAATCATTAGGTTGACCAGGATCAAATCATCATCAGGTATCTTCATATTGGGCTGGTCCAAGTGGAATGAAGATGCAAAAAACCCCCCAAAAAACACTTGAATAAAAAAAAATAAATGTTTTTATATATGGTTCTTCATACAATACTTGGTTGACTTCATTGCTAAAACAGTTATCAACCCAACCCACTTCTTAAGTTAGATGTGATACTTTGCTGGTTTGACGAAATTTGGTACAAGGCTGATGTCGGAGGTTCTTTTCAGGCAGGCATTCACATGGGGTGTTTCTCACCCGGTGTCTGGAACAATCTATCTCTGTTGCTTCAAGACCTTAATATTTATTGACATTCACCCAAAACCAGTATAGGGGCATGATGCAGTTGGGATATTCAGTATTTTCTCTACCTGTCACAAAGAACCCTTTTTCCACTGGCTGGTTTCTGAAAATTAATTACTTCCCAGTTTAGGAGATTTCCCTTTTTCCATGAGTGGTGGTCGCAGGTATTGATCCAATCCCATAACTTCTTCCTTCTCTTATTAGCATCTTCCACTAACACTCCTCAGTGGGCGTGGGTAGCTTCTTCCTTGGTGTTTCATCTATACCTGTCACCTTGACTGCCTGACATGACTGAATCTTTAGATCATTAATTAAAAGAATTATCATTACAAATTTGTCACCTACACAAAAAATAAAAATCTCCCACATCAGTCCTATGTTTTTTGTCTGGAATTAGACACAAACAACATGGCTATTTTCACAAGGAAATTTATTCCAAATTCTTCATTACAGATCAATTCTTATCTGGGTCTATCTACTTTTGTATCTCTGCGACAAGTAATTTTAATGATGGTTATCAATCAATTGTCAGAATATCGCCATATGCCCCTTCATAAATAATGTTCTTTTAAGCTAGTCTTTTGGTTTCTTGAGAAATTTAGGCTTTTTGAGAAATAAAATCTTCAATTTTTCTCACAGTGATTTATTGGTATATCCTTCATTCTATTCATTAACCCTTCTTATTATTTACCAGTGGTCTGTTGGTATATCTGTCATTTTATTCATCAGCCTTATTATTTACCCTTTCTAAATAGTATCACAGGCAGAGATGGGTCTCTCAGATGATTAATAGAGAGCTGTTTAGCTTTGGAAGTGTTAAAATTAACAAGCTATCCTTTGGCCCAGTTAACAACAGACTGAAGGTCATTTTTGATATCAGCTGCCAATTTGACCTTGTCAAGCTGATTGGACTTACTATCAAGACAGGAGTAAATGGTTATGTCATCAGCATAGATACCAAGTTGAGAGCTGATGTCATCATTAAGGTCATTAATGAAAATGAAAAACAAAGTAGAACCAATGTTACAGACAATTACTGCAACATAAAAATTAAAAAAAAAAGGTAAAAAAACAACTTCTAGGTGAAGCCAGGTTTACCACTCCATAATGGATGTATCCTCTACAAGGTCAAATACACAAATGAGGAACAGCAACCAACAGTAATGAACAACAAAACCAATATACAAATTAACAAGATTTAATTAGAACTAGACAATACATGAAAGCATTAGTGCAAGAGAATTCATGGAAGGAAGTGTGCTATACATTTCTGTAAGGAAAGATTTATGCATTAGGTTTCTGAGGTTGAAAGTCTTCAGTCTTTCATCTGAAATAAAATAAGGTTTTCTCTTTTCCCTTTTCTCTCTCTTTCTCTTGTTTTATATTTCTCTTTATTCTTTTTACTTTCAGTTCAGTTCATTCTCTCAAGCTGTGGTATCTTTTGATCTATTCTTTCTTCACTGTTATGAGTTTTGACCCAAAAAACTGATCGTTTACTCACTTCTTATATTCAGCAATGTAGAATTTGTTATTCGGATGGGAAGATATGGTACTATATAAGTTTTACATATTCAGTAACATAGAATTTATTATTCAGAGAGGAAAATTGGTGCTGTATAAGTTGTATATATTCAACAATGTAGAATTTATTATTTGGATAAGAAGATTTAGCACTGTACAAGTTGTATATTTAGCAATGTACAATTTATCATTCAGATTCTTCATCCAATTGAGTGGCTCACACATGCCTGTCTTAGGTGATGGTCACACTTAGCAATTCACCTATGCATTTGATGTAAACAGCATAGTGTGTCGAGTTGAACTGGAGTTTGTCTTTATTGTGTGATGTCCTTTCCTTGACAGTAACAAGTAGAATGAGATGTCACTCACATCAGACTTGGTTTTCAAATGATTTTGTGTGAGTTGGGGATGCCATTCCTTCACTTCAGTACAGTGAGTCCAGTTGCATGATGGTTTCATGGCTTGTCTGACTCTCTTGAGTTTTGTTGCCCCAACTGGTTTCTCCTAATATTTCCCACTCAACGTTCATACTTAGTCATGTGATTCTGCACATGTGTGAGAATCTATTTTTAGCTTCCATTTGGATCTGTTGCTGTGGTCAACCTGTCTGATCTAATTGTTTTTAATCAGTGACTACTATTACAGATTGAAAGAGAGAGGGGGAGCTAAGTGTAAAATGTGTGAGGTTATGGGTTTTGGGCTGTGTAAGGGGGGACAACTTCATTAGTTCAAAAGGATCTAGAAGAGTGTCCATTCAGGATAACTTTTCACAATTTTACAAGAAAGACTGAATCAGTTCAAAAATTTGTCCAGAGACAACTTTTTAATTTAGTTTAATGTAACTTTTTAATTTGTGAATAACACCTGTATGCCAAACCTTGTTGGAAGCTTTCAAGATGTCCAATGCTACAGTCCAAGCATCACCGTTCATATCTAGAGCTTGATAGAATCTTTCTGCAATTATCATCAGTACATCAGCAGTTGGCCTGGAGAAACAAAAGTTATATTGCTTGTTTGGAAAAAGGCCCTACAATGTGAGATGCTTAACCAATTCAGGATTGATTAGCAACTAGGAGTTTTCCAATATGATGGAGTAAGCTAATAGGCTGGTAGTTGGAAGAGTTGGATGGTTCACCAGAGTTCTTAAAAACTGGAACAACTAATGATGATTTCCAACAGGCAGGGAACAAAGAGGCAGTGAGGCATTTATTATACAGTTTTGAGAGAACGGGAGTCAGTTAGGGAGCACACTTCTTAATGACTTTTACAGGGATACCATCAGGTCCACATGCATTGTGGGGATCCAGATTAGAGATGATAGCAGAAACCATAGAAGGGGTTATATGCATATGACTTAACAGAGACTCACTTCTAAGTGGGAAGTTAGACAAAGATGCTCCTAATGAGTCAAGAGTAGAGTTTATTATTTGAATTCATAATAATGGCTGCCATTCAAAAGACATAAAATATTTTACACTCTTTCTTCTTATTTTGGTTGTTTTTGTTATGATTTCCTCCACATTCAACTTTTATTCTTGCTTTTAGTTTCATCAAAAAACTTTAATTATAAGGATACAAATAAAATCAAGAGCTAATATCATTTTTTCCATTTATTTTAATCCTATTCTTTACCAAAAATTTTAACAAATAAATCGATAATGTAAAACAGTAAACAAAAGATGTAAAAGAAGAATAGAGCTAGAAAAAAAATGTAAAGCACTATGGTAAAAATATTTTACATTTTAATTCAAATAACATTGGGAAAAATGAAGGAATTTATCCCACAATCCAATATATAAAATATCTGTCTACTTCCACCATCACTTTAAATGTGTGTGTGTAAAATATCTTTCACTACAGGAGGTGGCATTTTAAAATGTGTATAAATTATTTATGTACTCATTTCTGATGGTGTCAAGCTCTGTAAGGGAAGGAATCACTCATACATTTACTTACATAAGTTGATTTATTTCCCTTCCCACTACAGATGACACAGGAAATATATAAATAAATACACCTTGATAATTATTATATGGTTTAATGATTATTTTGAGAATAAGAATTCAGATATAAACTTTATTATTTTATTTTATTCATTTATGTTTTACAGGTGTTAGACTATGTGGAAAGCATTATTGGTTCAAATATCATGGCAATGCATACCATGTTCATCAATAAACCACCAGATTCAGGTAAAATTGTACATTATTTTCCCATAAAATATATATATTTTTTACAGAGAGCTTGTTTTTTGGTGGTTATACCTGAAACTATACTTAAGATATGGCCAAAACATGTCAAAATATTTTTTGTATTTTTCAAATAGTTACCTTGATACTGAACATTCACACAGATGTATTTTATGTAATAATTAATATTTATCTATTTGTCCAAAATGAAAAACAAGGTATACTTCTTTTCTTTTTTTTTAAAATATAATATTGTATGTGATTCCTATGTTCTGTTATATTACTAAAAATTCTTACAAGAGAGTGCTGAAAGGTTCTCAATCCAACCAAGAAGACCTTCTCCTTAAATCCAATGTTTGGTCATTTGATCAGATTTGAGGAAGTGGCTCAGACCAAGAACTTTTCAACAACTTCTTCATATACTGATGTAATTAAATACAGTTTTGTATGTGAAATGTTCTCAGTGCTATTTAAAATATTTTTTGTGTTCTATTTTCTTTTATTGGCTATAATGAACATTTGGCATTTTGTTTTAAAATTAAATTTTCACTTTTAATATCTCCTAAATTCTATCATCCAGTTCACACTCCTTCCTAGTCTTTTGAACAGGAATAGAGGTTTATCCCTTATTTTTTGTTTAGGATTAAGTTTCCAGTTCCTTCTAATGTCTTCTCATTCTCTTTCACTCCCAGTAGCTTCTTGTATCTTAGTGGCATTATCGCCTGGCTTGGGGTGAATTGATTAAAAAAATAGTTAATAATTTATGGTGGTTAGTGGAGGTTAACTTATGACAATGTTTCTCACCATATATTTATATAACCTTGTGTAAAGATTGAAAGAATATGCACAGAGTGTTAATATATACAAAATACATTTTTATATAACAGAATATATATACAGAAGAACGTTCAAGAGTTCAAATGTAAATGTCCTGGTGCATATCAGAGAGAGAGAGTCCAGGAGAATGTATATATATGTATATGTATACATGTATTCAGATGTAGTATTCATCTGTGTAAATAATAGAAGGACATATGTATAAGTCTGTCTGTCACTGCAGATGTCTTAGTTACCTGCATAAATGGTAAAAGCAGGTAGGTATATGTATGTGGCTACATGAGACTGTGTAGGCCGTGCATAATTGTAGTATTTTGGCTCCAGGTATGTTATGATGACTGCAGCATCAGAGAATGGATAAAATTAATTCAGTGATTATGATTTAGTTTGACTCTTTGTATGATTATATACATATGCTATGGAGACAAAGAAATCTGCTTCAAAACTGCAGCTTGGCTTTTGATTGGTTCACAATCAGTGAACTCATATACTGTTTGGGAATGGATGTTGTCTCTGTTTGACTTGCTAAACTATGGTGTTTGTATCTTGGTCGGATAGTTTCTGATTGGTTGGCCAAAATAAGATTTCATGGTCTAGAAATTCTGAATATACTTCTACTTTTAGAGATGATGAAATTTTGGTCTCCTTGTTATTATTGATTTATTTTTATATCACTACATATTTGTTATTTTTTAGATAATACAACTATCAATAATGAGATAAATTATAATAATGATGTCTAAAAGTATAATAAAAAAAAATCAAGTTGTATTAAGTGTCTTTTAATATTTTGTCTCCTGTTTGTTAATAGGCATGAAAACATCACGTCATCCTATGCACCAGGATTTACATTATTTCCCCTTCAGACCTTCCCACAAAATTGTATGTTCTTGGACCCCATTGGTGAAGGTAAATCAAGAAAATGGCTGCTTGGTGGTTGTTCCAGGATCCCATGTAAGACCCTTGCAACCTCATGGCTATCCAAATTGGAATGTAAGTGTGTTTTTTCATATTTTTATTCATTAAAATGTTGTTGGAAGTAGTAATCTTTACTGTAATATACATTAGTTTTGTTATTTTTTTCGTTCAGTATTTTCTCTACTAACCTGAGTCCACTCAGATTAAAATTTTAGGGAAATACCTTTAAAAGGATTTACTGTCAATATTTCATTGTTATCTCTAAACACTATCTCCATTTAGTATCTTGTACCAAACAAAGTATCATGGTACTGGCTTGGCTATTAACTAACATGATGCATCTTTCTTCACAGTAAACAAACAATAGAAATTAGTATTATATTTTAAACAAGTTGAATTACAGATATTTATTAGTCCTAATGATTATGTTCAGAATTTTTAAAGAGAACTTTATTGCAGATTAAAAACTTACCTCAGAATTTTACTTACATATTATTGAACATCTTATAAAATGCAATGATTAAAATACTGTATACAGTAAAATTTGTAATAATTCTATATAAATTCTATATAAATTAGATAGATTTAAATTACAATGGACACATTATTAGAACATTTATTATTCAATAATCAATTTCAGACAAAATAAAAGCCTTTTTTATTGAAAATTATTAAGACACAGTATCCCTTCTGAGTGGATACCAACTTAGAATTTAATTAACTAATAATTTACAGAGAAAGATAAAAGTTATGCAGCATTTAAAACAGATCAAATTATTAATCTGAAAATTTTCACCTTTTAAACATATATAGTTATTAAGTTATTAGAAATTGTATATGCTTCAAATAACGCACATTCAAAGAGAGCCAAGCATTTTTCTGTTAAATATTCACATGTATTCTGTCCATACACCAGATATAAATAAAAGGACAACATATCAAATAGCCAGTTCACAGTTGAAACAGTAGTTTAAGTTAATGTAGTAAGAGGAATCTAAGAAATATTTCTGTGTCATACAAAAGCTGTCTTCATAAGAATAAACTGAATTAAAATTAAGAAATAATTTAATCCCCTGTTTTATGGTGGCAGTCATTTTTGTTCTGATGTTACATACACATGCACTCAATATTAAGACTGCTTCAGCTGTTACAAGTGGTATTGCATACCCATTATTGCTTTACAGCTTTCACAGTGTTTTAATTCCAGATAATTTATCCCTAATTTGTACCTTACTTTTTGGACATTCCTCATGGTTTTGACACAAAATTCTCTATATTTAATCTTTTTTCAGGGAGCAGTTAATAAATTATACCATGGTATTTTGAATTATACTGGAGATGAAAGCCATGTATACTTGGACATGGAACCTGGAGATACTGTATTCTTCCACCCACTTCTTTACCATGGTTCCGGTATGAATAGGACTAATATATTCCGAAAGGTAAGGCATTTAGCCTTCTATGTTTTTAGAATAATCTCTCTGTACAATAGTATTTCTATTTTTTCACATCAATTGTTCTTCATGCATTTTCAGGTCTCATATTGACGCATGCCAATGTTTAAAGTGAATAATAACTGAAATAACTTCCATTAGGTAGATTTATTCAACTTTAGAGAAAATGGAAACAAAAAGGAAACTTATCAGGAAGAGGCAGTTGAAATTTCTGGGGCATGTAATGAGGAAGGAGGACTTGAAAAATTTGATACTCACAGGACAGATTGAGGGAAAGAGGAAAACTGTGTATAACATATTTGATGAAATGGTGTGGTAGAACAGGGTTTGGAAGAAATAGCAAAAAGACAAGGGACAGGACGATATGGAGGGCCATGATCACCTACATTCTAAAGGGACACAGCAGATAAAGAAGAAGAAGTGTTATATAAACATTAAGATCATTGTAACAGCATTCAGATGTAATATATCTTTTGCACTACATTTTGGAAATATAAGGCACAATGTAATCAGCTATACTGGTAGTCACCATATACCAAATGTAATTTTAGCTGGTAATCACCATATACCAAATGTAATTTTAGCTGGTAATCATAATACCAGGAATCACAGTCAAGTGAAGGATGCATAAATTGGGCATGGCTATTTTCGTCATTCACCTACCTCTCCTTCACCAGCCTTGTGTTATCTAATAGAATCTTTTACACGGTGTACTTGCTTGGATGAAATATGCAGCATTTTTATTCATTCACTTCAGAATTTCCTTCCCCTAAACTAGTTGCCACCCAAGGCTATAGGACCCAGTCTGTACTGCAATTTTACCCAAAGCTGGGATGAAAAGGGAAGGATTTATACCTTGCTCAAGACTACTAGCATGTAAGTGAATGTAATGAACTTGACAGGAATTTGAACTTGACTCTCCACTTCCACAATCCAACCCACTAACCATTACTCCATCATGCCTACCCCACTCTTTCTCTTTCTTTCTCTCTATAGGGCGATAATAGAGTTACTATTGTAATGAGTTTTGTCGGTCAACTTGACACCCCCAAAGCGAGTGGAGGTGGGCATGCGCAGAAATGATTGGTAGTGATTGATGTGATTGGTAGCTGGCTTGTTGGTGTTTTGCATGGGCAAGTTACCAAGCTCTATGTAAAGGATTGGAATGAGAAGGAGGGCAGTTTGTCTTAGAAGTGGAGACTGTGTCCGTCGCTACGACAGTAGGAGAGACACAAAATTTTTTATTTTCTTTAGTGACACATTTCAACACAACTATACAGTTACTTACAATGACAATGCAATTAATCAACAGTCCAGAAATTTATTATTAAAATGGTTCTGGTTAATTCTGGTTAATAACAATAAAATGCTATGGTAAACAATAGTAAATTAATTACCAATACTGTTCAAACCTGTTTCAATACTTTGCTTTTTATTATAAGTAACTATATAGTGACATTATTGCCACCCTGTATATATTTTTTATCCAACATTATTTCTTCTTATTATAAATGTGGATACACATGTTTCAGTTTCTATCCCTGTTTTTTTTATTTTCTTAAACAGTGAAATTAATAACAACCAGCCTAAATTGAGAAGTAATACTGAAGAAAAATTGTGCTTCCAAAAGGAATCAAATCTGGACTTATTTTTTTCATCTGTAACTGAACTAGTAGAAGCACACTTTGGCTCAAAAAGTGGTTTCCCTGAAATATATGTGTGCCATATCTTTCTTTTTCATAAAGTATATAGTCTTGTAATTTATTAAATTTTCTTTTTTATTACAACTCAAATTCATACCATTATGATGAAAATTATAAAATTATATATATATATATATATAATTATATATATATATATATATCTATATATATATATATATATATATATATATATATATATATATATATATAAAATTATATATACTGTATATTTGGGCAGCAACCTTTTCTTTCACACATGTTTCGTTGAATATGACAAACAAGGAAAATTTGATGAATTGAGTTTTTCTAGTATTCTTAATATTTTCATTTGGTGGAAGCAAGGGAGTGTAGTGTCTATTGACCCAAGCACTTTCACTCATTTCTTTTCAAGGGATTTGTTGTTACTTGTTGTTAGTTTTTTCATGGTTGCCTTTGTCTTTTAAGATGTATGATGCATATTGCATGGTAGTAATGTTTATTCCGAGCGAAAGGAACATGGCTGGAATTCAAGTTAGCATCCTTCTATTTTAAAAAATCTTTAGCACATTGTTTCATTGTTTTATGTTTTATATATATATATATATATATATATATATAAGAAGTATAACTAATTAAATGACATCATATTTTGATTTAAATACCCCTTCTTATGTATTGTTCGTGTGTTAGACATCTTCATATGATCTTGTGCTGTTAATGACATGATATACAAGAATTTAGAATGAGAGATTAAGAATGCTGCTCAATAAGTTTTTCTTTTATAGTCCTGTTTTGCAGGTTACTTGAAAATAAGTTATTACTAGAAATTGCTCTTAGAAATTTAATATAAATTTATTTTCTCTCTTCTATTTCATTTTATACACTTAAAAAGTTTTGCTTTCATCAGCCATATATTAAAGTAAAGATATTTATTGAGCTCTTGTTTTTTGCCCCCTTATTACATGGGTTTCTACCATCTTTTGGATATGTGTATAAACAACCTTTTTAGGATTTGTTGATTACAAGCATATAAAGGGTTCATTGAGTTTTATTCTGGAAATACATATTTTAAATCTGTAATATAAATCTTATCAACATAAAATGCACAAAAATTAATTTTATTGATTAAAATGTTTCTTTTCTTTTCCTGTTCTGTTTCTCAAATTTCTTTTATCTTTATTTCCTATGTTAAAAATGGATTCAATAAACTGAAATTAACCAAGAAAATTTTAGTAATATCCTACAGTTAAATAAGTCCTCAAAGAACTGTACCAAATAGCAGAAACCACATTACTTGAGAACTTTCAACAACTAAAATGGATGGCACATGTAATTTAAAGAGAAAATAATGATATAATCAAGATGTTGTCATTCTATACAACTTCAAATAAAAAGTTAGGAAGGAAACTCCACCATCAAGACTGGAAAGAGTGATAATAGCTACTGGAATTGTTTTAAGAGAAAGGTTTTAAAAATTTCAGCCAGCACCAATGCTGGTTGCTCGGTTAATGAATGCTGAATGTTTCCTTACAATGGTTAATATTACCATTGCCATTATTTAATCTATTTAATGAAAAATATTTCACTACCTTCAGTTATTTCCATAATGGTTTTATTTTTAATGTATAAACATATATTATAATCTAATTGTTATGATGTTGATTTGGGGTTAGTAAAGACAAACGCCAAATAACACGTAACAATAAAAAGGGGTTTATTCGGTTGGTAAGTAGGTACAGAAATTGCCTGAGTAGTCTATAACTAGCTCAGCCAAGAACTTCTCCGACTCTGTCTGTCTTTTGACATGCCACTATTTAACATCTTTGTTTGTAGACAAGTTCATCTTCAAGAGGGGTGGTAGGTTTCCTACACAACACTAATTAACGGTGAGATCAAACCAAATACTTTGAATGCATACTTTTACTGTGACTTGTCTTGAATATTTGTCTATACTAATCATAGCTATACATTTCTTTTGCCTTTTTTTTTCTTTGAAAGTAACAGCAACAACAATGCTGATAATGACAAAGAAAATTACTATCAGTCTTCATTTCTTTATTCAAACATTTTTCTCTGCAGTCTATCAGTTGTCATTATGCAAGTGCAGATTGCAGTTATGTGGACATTAAAGGAACAACCCAGGAAAATATTGCAGAAGAAGTGGCTGAAATTGCCAAGAAGAAGATTACCAAACTCTTTGGAAGTCTTGAAGGATTTGAAAACATTTCTCTTGAGGTAGGTCCTCATTTACTATTAAAATCCATGCCATTAGAATCATCTCTTTATTTATGTCAGTGGGTTAGTTTAGGTACATTTTGCTTTTTTGTTGACATTAAATCTTCATTAATGCATCTGCTACTGAAGTTATATTTACTAATATTTTCTTTATATTTACTAATATTTTCTTTATAATTTCTCTCATCATTTTTTATATTTTATAATCTTTAAAAACATAACAATATTTTTTGATAAAAATAAACCTTTTTTTAATGCAGAAGATCAATATATGTGTATATAAATAAATATCTGGAAAGAGGGATCATCAAATGGGTAAATAAAGTAATATCCTTTTATCTGGTTGTTTTGGTAAAATTTCTTTTTTTTTAATATTTAAACAGTTTTTTTTCAGATGTACACTTGCATCATTTGGTCCTTTTAGCTGATATAATTTGAAATTTTGAAATAAATATTTCAAGCATGAAGTTAATGAGATTATCATATATCATCATGCGTATTTCAGAAAATCTTACCTGTCCATATTTTAAAAAAAATTATATTCTAAATAAAAAGCAATGTTGATTTGTCTGTCATTTTATTTACACTTTAATTAAATACACTGAAAAAACTTTCTTAAAAATTATTTTCCTAAATTTTTTTGGTAATTCTTAGCAGGAAAGAATTTTAACAAATTGCAGTATCAGTTGTTACTTGTTTACCTAACTTTATGTTTGCCATAACTTTTACATAACTTCAGAATCTTTCTTGATTTTATATATATATATATATATATATATATATATATATATATATATTTAATAAATAGATTTTTATTCATTAATCTAACATATTTTTATTACTTTAAATGTTATTTTTAGTGGATACGCATATTTGAGTAGATGCTCTGTTTATTTTAAACAGCATTTTATTTTGTCTACTGGCCTGAACAATCAAGAAATCTTAAAGAAAAATGTGCCCTCTGGCAGAATTCAAATTAGCATCCCTCTTTGCAGGAGAAACCATTGTTTGATGCAATGTGCTTTTGACAAAAGCTTCATAATCAGGCATTAAAGAATACATGTTCATATTTCATTGAAAGTCATAACTGCTCAGTTTCATATCCAAAATGTAAACAAAGCAATTTCTAAAGAATTAATAGATTTTTATTTGTTAACTAGCAGGCTTCGCCCACTCGCTCTGCAAAGTAAGATATATTCACTACTTAAAATCTTTGAAACAAAAATTTTTAATGAACATTTCATTCATAAATTGGTTATAAAAATGAAAGAAAACATATTTATCCATATAGCTAGACATTAGAATTTTAGCCATTTTTAAACAAATGAAACATGTTGAAATGGAATAACATTTAACAGGTGTTGACAGAAATAAAATACATGTATTTGCACGAATGAAAAACATAATGGTGAAAAAATTGAAATCAAAATGAAGTTTTTTCTTAAATAATTCTTACTCTAATGCAGCAGGATAAAACTACTTTTTTCATTTTGTCTTTGGATCAAGTATAAATAAATTCTTTTCATTTCCAAATCTTGAACAATCAAAATATAATTGACCATGAGAAAAGCAGGACTGCACGAGTTGAAGTCCACTAACTTTCATTGATTGTCTGTGTGTTTTATTAATAGTCATTACAAAACTTACTCTGACTGGAAATTGCAATCATTTAAAATTAAAATATGTATGAATCAATGAAATTCTTGGAATCAGTACAGTCTCTCCTTTCCCTTGGCCAGTTATAATAAGAGCTTCTAATAAGTGAGGTCACATTTTCTTCACAATAAGACGTGTACCATTACATAACTTTGGAGGATCAAGATTTCTTAGCAGCATTAATGGTACTCCTTGTTTTAATACCAACTTGTGCAATGGCATTCTTGGAAGATCCAAAGAATTCAAAAATTCAATGGGTAATTTAACTGCTTTGTCTGGATCCACAGTTATGTCATTGGATAGGTATGTCCTTTCTTCTGTTGGGATATCTTGCAGAATCTTCTGATTGATGATCTGTACTGTTTCATTTCTGGGAGCCAGAATTGCTCTCTCACACAACCAATATGTATTCTAGAAGTTATCTGCTATATTGGGGTGTACTTTAAAAATTAATTCCTCAATGCTCTTGCCAGAGTGCTGAAACCTTCAGGAAAGCTGATTTGTCCATCTTGATCATGTGAAATTTCTCCATTTCCAATTTTTAAAAGGGGGTCACTAAATTCCTTTGCTGTCCCATCTCCATTGAGTACCACTCTCATATTAGTGGTTAAAAATTGTCTTTCAATATGATCTGACAGATAAGAACTTTTCAGGCAGGCATGAAGTTCATTTGCAGCTGTTCCTCATTTGACAATAGGGAGTGTTTGTCTGAAATCTCCAGATAGCAGAATTGTTACTCCTCCCATGAGTCAATCATTATGTCTGATATCTTTCAGTGTTCTGTCTAAAGCTTCAAATGCACCCTTGTTAGCCATAATGCACTCATCCCAGACTATGAAGCAAGTCACCTGAAGTAGCTTGGCCAGGTTTGTACCTCTGTTTATGTTGTACACTGGAATGTCATTATAAACTAAGTGTAATGGCAGCTTAAATGTTGAATGAGCAGTTCTTCCACCAGTAAGCAAAGTAGCTGCTATTCCAGGTGATGCTACAGATAAAGCCACTGTTCTGTGCACCCTAAAAGATTATTTAGGAACATTTTGCCAGTACCCCCAGGAGCATCCAAAAAGAAAATTCCTGCAGCAGAATTGTTGATCCTTAACATAATCTCATTGAAGATGACTCTCTGGTCATTTTTAAGAAGAGGTTTATTAGTCTGTATTGAAGGATCAACTCTTCATGGTTGTATCCAGTTTCTCATAATTTCTCTACTTAAGGGATCAGAATCTCTGGTTTGGGAAGTCTGAAATGGGACAGTTCTTTTTGTGTCAGATTTAGTACCTTATCTTTTATTTCACATGGTGCAATCTTCACAATCCTCAGGTTCATTTGTATGGCTAGTCCTGGATGAACCAGTTGCATATGATGAACAATGTTTTCACTCATAGCTTCTTGGTGTTTCACCAAATATCCATTAGGTTTGAAATTTAACAGGTAGCAATCATAACAGCAAAGAGATCCCTTATTTACTTTAGTGATTGATATGAAACTGCCTCTTGTAAAATTTGGTCCCAATGCTCATCACTTTCTGTAAGGCCAAGTTGCATACATCTCTCTCTGTATGTCTCAAGAATATTTCCATTGGTTGTTTTCAAATTTTGAAATGATATTAGACCCCTGACATTATAGACAAAGTCAAAGAAAGAAGCAAGCAGTCAGAATTTTTTGGATGTACTGTATAAAGCTGACCAAGTACATCACTATATTTAATAGTAGGTTCAGTTGGATGAGGTTCTCCTTGCTTTCTTCTGTGGAATTTTCCAGATTTGAATGTGTAAAATTTAAACACTTCAGGATAGAGAATTTTTTTGGCAAAGTCATTTACATTGCATAGGTTAAAGAATGTCATTAGGGTAGTGTTTTTTGGAGTTTCAATCAATTCCTGAGCATTGTCTTCAGTAAAACACACCAGTAAAGTAAAATTTCAAGATGAACCCTCAACTGAACTGATGGGTGTCTGTTGTAAATATTAAATGGAAAAATTCTCCAGGAAGCCTCATTGATAGAAATGTATCTTCCTGACTGAACTTTTTCTACTTCATTGTGGTTGTCATTGGCATTCACAGCTTGGTCACTCCCCTTAATTATGTACTTGCACACATACTTTATGGACTTAACACTGTTAAAAAATTCTACATTAATGTGAGCATTGAATGCTTTGCACAGAAGTGGACTATAGGGAACAACCCATTTGTTGTCTACCAGCATATTTTGTCCATTTCTTTCAAGGATGAAGCTAAATCCTCCATCTTCAATCCTTCTTCTTCTGTAACTTAGGTAGCCATCTGTATCCATTTTTGTGTGATTGACAAATTTTCTTGGAAATCTTTTTGTACATCTGTTGTCAATTAAAATTCAAATGATCACATGCTCCATGAATCATATGTCTTTTTACTATTTCAAAAAGCCCTGGATCTTCATTAGGATTTATCAGTTCTGCATTGATAATAGAATCTATTTGATTTGGATTGATCTTCTCCCTTAACCATAAAAGTAAATGTACATGTAGCAGTTCTTTTTGTGTCTTTTACCATTCAATTGAATACACATGACATTTTACAGGTCAAAATATTTTTTCTTTATTGATGAGATCCATCAGTTTGTGACCTTCAGCTTAAAAATCCTAGCAACAATATCATGCCTGACTGTTGCAGATTGTTAAGGAAGGAGATTTTCTAAAATCTCAGGCCTATTCGGATTTGTAGTAAATGTAACAAACAAATCTGGTTTGCCAAACGTCTGACATAAATCAATCCATCTCGAACTCTTTCATGCATGTACGTTGGTCCACCTGTGAATGATGAAGGGAGAATAACTATGTGTCCCGCATTAACAGCATTGCCATCATTCTGAATTGCATCCTTTAGGTGGATATATTCCTCTGCTCTTAGTTTCTTTTGATTCATTTTGATAAAAAGTAAGTTTCCTGATTCAATTTTCACATCCATATCCACCAAGAACTGGTTGAATAGTTGCTTGAATATGAAGAGATAATTATAACTGTTACTCTTTATTATAACTCTGTATGCATAGAAGTTCATGTCTGATATTTTTTATTTGTGGTTAATCCAGTGTTCAAATATCTTTGCCTGAGGATCCATCCTTGCCAAAAGATGAGTGGATATTGTAAGGCATAAGCTCTGTGAGTTTCTGCAACTGTTTGAAAACTTCCATCCATATTATCAGATTCATCCTTGAATCTTATGGCATTGCAATAATGGCACTGGATATCTATTGGTCCAATAGACACCTTTTCATGATTTGCATAATCAGTATTGCAATTGTATTGGAATGCAGCTTTGTGGAAGTTAACAAAAGATATATGTTGCACACTGGCATATCTT